AATATTGCCACCCCTCCTCCTTTTCTTTCTTCTCTATCCTTCCTGAACACATTATATCCTGGAATATTTAACTCTCATTCTTGTCCTGGCTTGAGCCATGTCTCGGTTACTGCCACCACATCGTAACCCCCTATGGCCAGTTGAACCTGCAGCTCATCAACCTTATTCCCCAAGCTACGTGCATTTAGGTACATGCATTTGAGGAAATTGTCTGCTTTGTACCTGCTCTACACTTCCCACTTGTCTTTTTCCTCTACTCTCTAATCCATTATTTATCTTTGGATACCCATCCCCCCTCGACACTCATTTAAATCCGCCCCTACAGTATTTGATAATCTCTTAGCAAGGAAGCTCACCCCTGCCTTGCTTAAGTGCTGCCCATCCTCAAGGTAAAGATCCCACCTCCCCCAATAGTAGTTCCAATTGTCCAGAAAACGGAAGCCTTCTTTTCCGGACCATTTCTCCAGCCAATCGCTAGTTATGGCACTAGCATTGGTGTACCATACCCAGTAAATTTGGATAAGACGTTAAACCGACGTCCTGTCTGCTTGATCAGATGGACATTAAAGATCCCGTGGCATGATTCGAAAAAGAGAAGGGAGTTTCTCCCGGTGTCCTAGCCGACAAATACCCCAAATAAAATTGGTCACTCACTCCATGAATGTCTGTGGGACATTGCTGTGCGTAACTAGCTGCCGCTCCCACAAACTACAGTCAATCCACTTTAAAGTATATCTTGTGAAGTGTTTTGAGACGTCATGACAACAATAAGTCGCTATATCAAATGCAAGGATTATTAATCTGGTATCCAAGTTGCTTTGCTACCTTGATGCACAAAGTGTGCATGAACAGTCCTATGTCCTGACACAGATGCTAAATTTACCCAGCTCATCTAATATAGTAACAAGCATGAAAGGAGACAGAATGAAAGCAAGTTAGCTCCCAAATGCTCCATGACAGCAAGATATAGAGCAGCAATACAGAGGTCCTAGTATTCATTTTGGTGTGTACATAGGGCACAGAAATATAGATGTATGCAACACAGATTAAACACGCAAGGAAATGGTATATTAGTCTTGGCATTGAGCAAGACAAAACAAAACTAGCCTAACCTGCATCCCTGTCACTCAATGACTAAAAGGGAAAGATAAAGCTTTTAAAGTCATTTCTATATATGTAAACAATTAGACCAATTACAGCAAGTTGGGGTTTTCTCTGAAAAATTTAAGAATTATCTGCCAACTTCTACTGCTTCAAAATAAGACCAGCAGCAGATGCTCAGAGTTAACCAATTCCATGCCTGACCTGGGAGTGCTTAACATTACCATACAAAATATTTAATTCCCAGCAATAGAGATATTTTGATCAAAACATTCTTTGTTATTTAAATAAATGATGCATATGATTATGTACTGAGGTGTGGGACACAGAGTTAAAGTGTGAGGAGCGATCAATGAATTGATGTGGGATGTTTATGTAACAAGGACCAGAGAGCGATGAATATGTTAAATAGATACCGAAGGACTGATATAGGCAAATTCTGTTATCAAATTCGAGAGGTAGTCTTTTGGCAAAGAATTTGATTGAAAGAGAGATAATATAGGAGTGTTTTCCCTTTGGGTCCAGCCAAATAGAGTTCCAGGATTATAAAGTTACAAAGAATGTAAAGCATGGAAACAGGCCACTCGGCCCAACCAGTCAGTGCCGGTGTTTATACTCCACACAAGTCTCCATCTATTCTTCTACTCCCTCCCATACTCTTCTATTCCCTCTTCCTTATGTGAAGCTTTAGCTTCTTCTTGAATGCATCTATACTATCTGATTCAAACTCTTGTAATAAAGATTTTGTATGTGGATAAATCCATGTTTCTCACCCTCTTTTGGGGGATCAATATGATAAATGCCATTCTCATTAGAATGGGACTGCTAGTGCTCACGAGCACTATCGCTATACTGATTGTTATGTTGTCAAAATGGCTCTATAATTACAGGCCACCAGGCAGCATAGGAGAGCAGCCAAAGGTCAGCATTCTCTGATTTTTTCCACTCTCTCTTGGGGAAATTGAGGAATCATACACTTAGCCCATTATGTATGGAGCAGCAGTTCAATGCTCCAAGACGGTACCACTAGCCTCATGTGCAAAGAGATCACTACAAGTGGACCTCTGTCCAGAATTTTAACAAAAGTGAAGATTCTGCCATTCTATAATCCTCCTTGATGAACACTGTTGGGAGTAACGGGGTTGTGAGTCACACATTGTTTTTAAATAGGAGTCAGTTTTACAATTTCAATTTAATTTGCTCAGGATAGCTACCCTATCCTGTTGGTGGAACAACGAGCCTGATATCAAGTCTAAATTTGGATACTAGTTGAGTCATAATCACGCTTCAATGCACAAAGATAATTCATCCTCAAAGCTTATGTCGTTGGATACTAAGAGGTTTTGCTATGATTCATAGAACTGGAAACCAAAAGAAACCGCAACAGGAATGACTACTGTCTTGTGTCTCAGTCAGCAGTTTTAAGCCTAACATGTGGCACTGCCTGAAGCAATCTCCCATAATTTATTTTGTCTCCTTTACTTTACTGGAGGGGAGAGAGTGTAAGAACAAAGATATGTGGTAACTTCCTCTATTATACTCAATCTGCTAAGCACACCACTGCAAAAAAAAAATTTCACAATCAATCATGTGGCTTTCAAATGGGAAATGAGCAGGCAGGAGTGAGGGCAGAAAAAATCCGACATATGGTACTGCAACATGCTGTGGTGCTTGAATAACCTTTACAAAAGAAAAAAAATCTCACAACAGAGGAGGGAGATGGAAGGGAAGAAAAGAGTGAAACAGGTGTTCAGTTCCTAAAGTTGAAAACAGATACAACTTTGAAAACTGCCAAATCCAGGAAGTAATACGAGGAGACCCCCAACTGAACTTTTGAACAGTGACCGTACTGTAGCGCACAAGTAGGTCAAATACAGTGCTGAAATGCTATCAAAAGAAAAAATTGCAACAGATCACAATCCAATCCTGGCATTGATCATAGCGATGCCCGACATTATTCTGCAGCTACCGTGCACACACAATGAGAATTATTCAGCAAGCAGTTGGCATTTGCCACTTCAAATAGCTCTAAACGCTGGTTACACAGCAACTGAAAGTAAATACCGTAAGAAGACGGTAATCCAATCAAAGGCACACCAAGTCATAAAATAAAAATACACTTGCATTTGATGCAGTACTGTACCACATTAAAACAACTCACGGTCTAGGCTGACATTCCAATGAAGTGCAGGGTGTGTGCTGCAGTGTTGGAGGAACTATCTTTCAAATGAGACATTAAACCTGGGTCCTGTCTACCTATTCTGGTGGACATTAAATGGCGCTATTTGAAAAGAGAATGGAGTTTCTCCTGGTGTCTTGGCCAATGATCCCACAGGAAAATTGGTCACTTACTTCACATCTATTTGTGGGATACTTTCGGCTACAATTGTACAATTGTTAACTTCACAGTAAAAATCCTGTGAAAGCGCTTTGAGACATCTCAACGATGTGATAAAGCACTATATTGAATGAAAGGATTATTATTAATATGTAGTTCAAAGCACAAACAATGAATTACTTTGAAAATACTATAGCAGTTATGTAGGGAACCATGATAGCTAATCTGTGGCATGAATGCCCCACAATCAAAAAATCTCATGGGATCTTCAACAACCACTGGAACCACCAGAATAGGCAGGCAGGCCTCAAACAATATCTCATCAGAAGCAATGCCGGACTCCTTCGCTAGATTATTCCATGGCTTAAAACCCTGATGTGGAACAAAGTATTCACCTTAGTTATGGAACTATGGAAGAAAACATTCTTATAAATTATTTACTTATAAAAGTATATTATACTGTAATAACAAGGAAACCTCATGTTTGGTTTTCTCAGCACCCAGCACGTTTGCTGCTAGAACCTTCTTCGTTCTAACTTCTTGGGATCTTGTGATGTCTCTCGGGCCCTCTAAAAACTACCATACTAGATATATCCAGAGATTAGATATCCTGGGATTGGCAGCTGTTTTCTAAAGATGGAACCAGACAGTCAGGTGACCACATTGTGAAATTTACTACAGAGGTTGGGGGCAGCGGTAAAATAATAATTCTAATAAAGGAGTTCAGTGAAGATATAATAGGAAAGAAGGACACAGTTGAAGAAGGGAGGGAAGCAGTTGGAGTAGAATGGATGAGATGATAATATGATAAGTATCGTCATTGATATCTACCCATCAATGAGGTGGATCAAAACAACAATGAGAGACGATCCTGTTGAAGAAGTGTTTTTTCAAACCAAGACAGCAAAATACAGTATGCTTTCTCTTTACTAACCATACTTGGAAACTCCATGTGCAGCTATATCATAATAGTAGTATTCAAACAAGAGGAGAATTGGCTCATACCATCGATGAAAACTGTACACATGCATGTCTCACATGCAACCTTTACTTGGGTGTTAACAAGGTAACAAGGTCAAATCTTTCCACCCCAATAATTGGAGGGATGAAAAGAAAATATTTGTACATATCTCGGTTTGTGCTAAAGCAGTTGTTTTTTAAATAGAAAATCCAGCTTTGTTTCTATCCCTAAAAATAGAGACAATGAGGTAATTCCATCTAATGCCACTACTACAGAAGTCATTAGCACCATTATAATGGTATAAATACCTTTCCTTTAGACACACAGCTCGACCAAGATCACCCTCCCTCCTTCCCCCTATTTCTCTTTCTCTCCCTCCCTCCCTCTCCTGCCCAACAGGGAAGTGGAGTGTGATCTCCATTGATGATGTATTGAAAGGTCAACCTCTTTTTTGTCAATCCACCATCAAGTACCCAGGTGATCCAGTTCCATCAGGCAGTTCCAATGGTTGTGGAGCTGGCTTGTGATCTGGAGATCACGATCTGGAGATTCTGTAAGCGCAGAATGAAGCATTATAGCAATAAAAAAAATAAAACTTACAAGATGAACATAAGGCACGAAGTATCCAAAAAGTGCAGCTGGGATTCCGAATGCCCAGATTCGGTATCCTGTGATCTTCCAGATCTTCAAATTTAAGGTCTTTTTTAGGGTCAGCTTTTTCTTTTCATCGGACTTGTCTCTCTTCATTGGAACTAGGGGTTTATAAGTAAACCCTACCAAAAACAGCACAATCATGAAGACACTGAGAACACGGAAGGTATTATGGAGTTTGATAGTATTCAGCAAAATATCCAGAATCAAGGGTAGCACTATAGTGAACATGCTGCTCCCAGCTGTGACAATGCCATTCACCAGGCCTAGCCGCTGCTTAAAATAATGCCCTAAAATGACCAGGGAAGGTTGATAAGAAAACGAAGAACCGCAGCCAAATATGATCCCATACGTAAAGTACAATGGTCCAATAGATCTATGTCAAAAGCAAAAGGGGAGAAAATGAACAGAATTAGATTTGAAGGTACATTCAAGATTACATACGCATAACATAGTATTTAGTACATTATATCAACATGCAAGACTTGATTTATACAGATAAAAAATGTTTAAAACCGATAATTTAAATGTTACTTCTATGCGAAGCTCTTTTATAAAACTCCAAAGTTGTACTGAGGCACAGTCAGTACAGATAAACATTGGATAAGTGGACTATTGGGCTGGCGGTGAGGGCGAGGTGTGAGCGGGATCCAGTTCAGCCAGCCAGAATTTCTAAATAAGGGTAATTACAATGCCGGTAATGCAAAAAAATGCATATGAGGAGCCGGAAAATGCAGATAATGCATTTGCTATACAAAAAAGGGCAAACCTAAGCACACTTCAGATGCCAGAAAAAGGGAAGTGAGGCGGGAAGCTGTGGGATCACGTGGACTGCACAACGCAGCAGTGGCATGTGATAGGAGAGTTGAGCTAGCGGGAGTCTACATGAGGGCTCGCCGAAATTTTTGACCCACAGAATTTTATATAAAAAAATTATGTTTTTTTTTTAGTTTCGGGCCCGGTCCAGCTTGGTCAGATTTTGGATTCCTGGAGTTTCTGTTAAGAACTTTTAGACATCCTCCCGATGTGAAAGGCACTAAATAAAATTGTATTTACAGGAATACAATAACAATGTAAAAATAAGCAAAAAACATGAACCCTGTAGTATCAACAATTATGGACAAAAATAGTCCAAATATTCTTTCCCCCACCCCCCTCCCCACCCTTTTCTGTTTCTGTCTCGAGCCTAGAAACACATATAGTGCAGATGGTCCCAAACATCTATCGGTGCTGCTCTCTCAAAACAATCACAAGAATTAGATCAGGAGCCAAACAATAACCCTTGACATAGAGCCTTTCATATTGGGAAGAAATTTAAAAATGCTTCACAGGATTTATTATAAAGTGAAGTAACTTTTTTGTAGGCGAATGTAATAATTAATATGTACACAGTAACACAGAAACTTTTTGGATAGTGCCATTGGATCTTTAAAATCCAATTGAACTAAATTCCACCCCAAACAGTCGGGATTTTGGTTCAATGTCTAATCTGAAAAATGGTATCTGCAGGACATCCACAGCTCGGGAATGTTAAAATTCCAGTTTGGGGCTTAGGGTCACAACCTTCTGACTCAGATGTGATTGCTACCAAGAAGCCAGGATTAACTTCCTCATTACTACTTCATCCACTGTAATCATTCAACGTATGGCTGCATACATTGAAGCTCCAGTCTGGAATGTCATCAAGAGAACATGTGAGGAGGGAGATTACTCCCCATTTCAGGCGTACACACAAAAAAAATCACTGTAGTAGATTATTGGATGCCAATTTTGTAGCATACTGCAAATCAGGTAGCTAAAACTGGACACTGCATAGATCAATTATGTCTTAATTTGCAGGTGGAGTTAACCATCCGCAAACACATACTTATGTAATTAACCACAAATTAAAAGGGATTCCAGATGATATTGTAATCCTTGACATTGCTTCTTGGTTGCATCATTAAGGGCACCTGGTGTAACTTCTCTGTGCATGGCTCTTATTTCAGGAATATGCAAGCACTGATGTGCATAGATTTATCATTGTCAATCAGCAGCAGCAGTTCACATACAAGATCTACTGATACAAGATCCAAAGCTAGACTTCTCCAGACTGAAACAGAACATCTCTGGAAATGGGCACAAATAAAGTATTGAGTCTTCAGGTGAGATTTCCTTTAAGCCTGTGTTTCCAGGAAACGGCTCTACACTTTGCCTCAAGTATTCATCTGAAAAAGACAATCCAAATGTGTACCATTTATTTACAAACACTTTTATCAGTGGTGGTGGGGCTGACTCCTCTCCCCCCTTCCATTTCAAAGTAATGCACTGTGTGTATGTCCTGTCTAGCTCCAAGCTGCTCACAGATCAGTGCCCAGCCAAGCATTGGGGTTAACTGGAAGACAGTAAAGACAAATTATGTCCAAGAAATGGTGAAAAATGCACTTTAGGGAAGTCAATTGGTGCAACAAAATTTAAAAAAAAATGTTTTGTTGTCCTTCGGATGAGACATTAAGATCCTTCTGTCCATTCAAGTGGATATTGAAAATCACATGGCACCTTTCAAAAAGAGAAGGGAAATTCTTCCTGTGTCCTGGTCAACAATCCCACTGATAAAATTGGTCATTCACTTCATGCCTATTTGTGGGACATTGCTGGATGCAAATTGGGCTGTCCGATTAGCCCACAAAATATACAGTCACTACACTTCACAGTATATCTTGTAAAGGGCTTTGAGACATCATCGCAGCATAAAAGGCTCTATATCAGATGGAAGGTTTTTACTATTATTATTAATAATAATCTTCAAGCATTAAATGACTTTTTCAAACACTCAACATGAGGTTATTGTAATATGTTGGAATATTTATTTAATAGAAGTGACTTTAGGAGTACTCTAGCAAGAAAATCCATGATCAGAATACAAAGCTTGTGACCCACCTTACAAATGAACTCCCAATTAGTCCAGCAAATGCCACAGCAGCTCCAATGGTTGCAGTTTTCCTGCATCCAAACTGATCAGTGAAAATGCTCACAATCGGAGAGCAGAAGAAGACCATCCCCATGGACAATGATCCCACCCACGCTGAAAAAAGAAAATAAATAAACCTGAGTCACTGAATTGTAGCATGACAATTTGGCACTGGATTTCCAAGCCAACTCCTTTGCAAAACTCGTAAAATGTGCATCAAATCGGATGGACCACTTCACACAATCCTGGATAGTTAGCTAAGGAAAGAGTTCAATTAACACAGTAATTCTGAAGATATTTTCTTTTTTTCCTTGAAATTGAGCAGTGCTGTGACAATATTAAATACACAGTATTAGATGTTTTCCTTAAGAGTTTTGTAGTTTAGGAATTTACATAATCTGCTTCAGGAGCATTGAATAATTAGAAGCAATTATAAGAAACACCTTTCATCAAATCAGTCAACGCCTATTCCCACTTTTAATCTAAAGATAATTTTGCATCCTTGAAAGCCTTCCAGGGAACTCAGATCTACTGTGAATTTTATGACGATGGTTTATTCATTTTCAACATTGACAAATATGATATGAATCACTGAACATTTAATTAAGTTTCAATTCATAGTGGGCAAGTACAAAAAGTGCATAATTGAATGTCCAATACATTTGAGTGTCAGCCTGATTCAGTGGTAGAATTTTGCCAATCAGGATCCAGGTTCAAGTCCCATGTCGGTACTTGGACTCACATAGTCTAAACTGACACTAAATTGCAGTGCTAGGGGTCTGCTGATTATCCGAGATGCCATCCTTCGGATAAGACATTAATCCGAGGTGCCATTTATCCGTAGACATTAAAGATCCCATGGCAGTATTCAAAAAGAGAATGAAATTTCTCCTGGTGTCCTGGCCAACAATCCCCCAAATAAAATTGCGCATCCATTTCATGACTGTTTGTTGGACATTGTTGTGCACAATTAAGTTGCTACATTCGCCTACGAATACAGATTAACTTGACTTCACAGTAAATCCTGTGAAGCGCTTTGGGGCTTGACCTAAAAGGGACTACATCAAATGCAAGGATTATTATTATAACAATAATATGTCATTTGGCACAGTAGCACCAGCAACAAATATCATGAAGACGATCCACAAATATTCTCTTTGGATATTAAATAACATTCCAAATTATTCAAAAAAAACTGAACAGCAGAAAATTAAAAAAAATGAACTCCTTACTATTCTCCATCAGAAACAAAATAAAAGGTGGAATTGATAGGTAGGTTAACAGTCAACAGTCCATTAACTAAGGGAGAGTCACAAACATTCAGCTTTGCAACAATGTTTTGCTAGCATTTGTCAAAAGGTCCATTGAACTGAATGTTCTGAGAAGCAACATTGGAGATGTAGTTCAGGACATTTCTCAGCACTTGGGAGCTGTGCAAACAGACTGTACAAGTGAATAAACAAAGTGCGCATTTGTGCAGATAAACTTGTGCGTGTTATTCCAAAATATAAGAGCGTAACATTTGCGTGTCCCTGGCATAGGTTATCTAAAGGTTTGAACTCAACGTTTGGCCTTGTTTTAGCATTTTATTTCCAAGGAATCAGCCTTGTTTTGAAGGCTGACGTTATAATGACGTCATAAATATTGAATGTAATTTCTCATCTGAAACTGCCTCAGGCCCAATCCTGTTTACTTAATTGTGAATGATTTATTTTTAGGCATACAACAAAAATTACAATATAAGAGTTTGCTGGATACTGGACTTGGTGCAAATATTCAATTGTATTCTGACCGATAGCATTTAATAGCAAACACAAGGCAAGGGACAAAAAAAAAAATTTCACTTATTGTCCCTCTACTTCAAGAGTGGCTGTCATCCCGTCAAAACTGCTGGCTATTTTAGAAAAAGTTAATCAGCCCTTTATTGCAATTTAGTGAATAGGCTAAATTTATTAAACAAGTCTATGCATGTAGAATGTAAGAGAAGAGATTGAAAACAGTAAAAGACAGCTGCAAGTTGGAATATTCAACATTAAAAATTTCACAATGACAGCCCACATAGTCAGCTGTGAAAGGTCCAGAAAGAATAAATAATACTGTAAAACTTACTTACGTCTTATCTTAATAAATCATATAATCGCCTAAATCATACATTTGGCCCACAAAATATACAGTCAGTTTGCTTTACGGTATATTCTGTAAATCGCTTTGAGACATCTCAACGATTTGATCAGGCGATATATCAAATGGAAGGATTATTATTATTATATTCACCCAAGTCCCATTCAGTTTTCTATCAAAACCACTTAGATTTCTTTACACCACTCATATTAATCACCACCTAATGCTGCTCCCCTACATTCCATTACTCCTGCACTCTGGGGAGGGGCGTAAAGGCAGCAAGTGGTGGGCTTCATCTGGGTGATGGTGGGGGAAAGGGAGGAGCGGGAGATAGGGGCAAAGGAATGTAGGTTGGGGGTTGTGGTAAGAGGAGAGGGTGGTGAAGGCGGCATGTGGGGTGGTGACATGGGGAGAGGGGAGAAGAAAGAGACAGCCAGGTGGATGATATCTATCTTAGAGGTAAAGAAGTCCAGGACATCTTCGTACTTGGCATCTGAAGTGAGGATCGAGGGTGCTTGAGAGGGGACGTGGAGGAGGTGCTGGGTAGTGTAGAACAGGATTTGGGGGTTATTTTTTGGTCAAATCTCAAATGGAAATAATATATACATCAGGTTAATATTTATGTATTAAATCAAAACACAAAATATCAACTCAGCATCTGGAGTCTATGGAATTGCAAGACACAAGAGTACTGGGTGGTCTGAGCAAGAGGTACATTTGGTTGCATTCAGGTGTCTTCCTTTGTGCTACCCAGGTATATGCCACTTGGCCACGTCTTGATCGCTTGTCACAGGGGGCAAGGAGCCAGGCATGGATTGGGGAGCACGGGGAGTGGTGTCGCAGATACTGAAATAGATTTGATTATGATTTTGGAGATCAGAGTTATGATGGCAAATAAAAAGATGGATCTTGTAGAATTGGAGGATGTGCAGTTATGCAGATCCATAGGGACATAATAAGCCTCTGCGATTTTGGCATTTTCCCGCAGTGTTCTTGGCTACTCCTGAGCTGCTTTTGTTTAATTGCTTTGGCTTGTAGGGAGTGTAGCTAGGTCAGCTAATATCAGAGATTTCTCCAGGTCAGCCTGAAATAGTTTGGACTTTTCAGGTGAGAGTGAAGTATTCAGCAGATTCTCAATCTAGAAAAATGGTGGCTGTTCTTTCAGGGAACCTGAGGGAAGGAGAAAGCCAGGCTGAAAAAAAGATTCACTGCTTTCTATCAAAAGGCATACCTACAGGAAACATGGACAAGCACAGGCTGAATTTCCATTCCCTTGGCAAGAGCTATTATTGTACCCCGAGTTGCTTGACATTAGTTAACAGCCAATGTAGACCTTGAAATACTTAATTGACTTGTTTGATATCTATTGAGGATTGTTTTTTGCATTTTACAAGCTAAAATAGCTTTGCCCATTCGTAAACTAATGCAGATCTTGAAACAGTGAACAATCCCCACATGGAGCAAGTTTGTCTGAACCCTACATAGAGTACAAAAAGAATTAGTGTCTTGCTACTGAAATGCATGATTGTAGTAAAAAGCAAATCAATCACAAACAGACAGAAAACAACAGTTTCCTCTCATCTGGGAACATACCCTATGGTAAAATAGAATAAAGTGCCCTTTTTAACACACAGGTTCAAATCAGAGATAAATGCCCCAAAGCAGGACGATTAACCTATATATTATTATAATAATCCTTACATTTGATATAGCACCTTTTCACGGCATCAAAACATCTCAATGCGCTTCACGGAATATACTGTTAAGTGAATTGTTTCACCCACAAAATATATACAGTCAATTCACTTGCAGTATATTTGGTGAAGCTCTTTGAGACATCTCGAAGACGTGATAAGGCGCTATATCAAATACAAGGATTGTTATTATTATAATAGGTATAGTGTGTGTTCAGAGACACTCCGAATTGCCGTCCAGCGTGAAGAGCCGCTATATAATAAATATAATAATCCTTGCATTTGATAAAGCGCTTTTCACAGCTTCTAGACGTTTCAAAGCACTTCACAGAATATACTGTACAGTGAATTGACTGTATATTTGTGGGCGAAACGCAGCAGCCAATTGTGCACAGCAGTGTCCCATAAACAGTCATGGATTGAATGACTAAATCATTATTGTTTTTTTGAGGAGGTGGTTCTTAAGGGACTATTATCATAGGATTATTCCTGTGGCTGGAAAAGAAACAGGATTGATATATCAGTCAGGTGACACAAGGCTTTTTATCCCTCTTCATTATCAGTCATATGACATAATAATTTTTCTCAAATCACTCCTCACTAGCAGTCACATGATACAATTGTATCGTGCCTCACATCCATTTGTATTATTTCTTTCCCATATTATGTAACTTCAGCTACATACAGTCCAAAATGGCAATTTTCCCCTCCGTTTTTTTTTAAACACAAAGTTTGGACGGCTCAGGCAATAAGTCTAGCATCCCCTGTAATATTGAATCACTGCAACTCAGAGCTGAGTCCATCATCCATGGTGACACTGATCAATACACACCCGAGGTTTAAATCGTCACTCTGGTTCTGACCAGCAACCTCTGGGTGCTGAAGTAACAAAGACCAAGGCTTCCCCCATCCCAGTGTTAGCTGATGATTCCTTTACATGCGATGAGGTCAGAAAATTGAACTCAACAGCCTCGTAACACTCAACTAATTTCCCGCATGAACAACACAAATGGCAAGGAAAAACAGACTTTTTTTTAGTATAACTGTGTGTGTCACGTGCACAGTTTCTTGACATGACCTATGTAAGCTGAAGAATAGTCAGCACATTTCAATCTGTTTTTCAAATCCAAAATGTAGAATTTTAAACCCTCACTCTCCACATTCAGCCAAAGCTACAATTATCTACTGAGCGCAGTCAAACATCTGCTGCATGCTGTGCAAGGCCTCATTCTACTAATTCTCCTTCAGAAAGATTACCAGGAGTACGCAACAACTACAAATTTATTTTGTGAATATTTT